GGGGGGCGGTGGATCTCTGTGACTGTGAGTTCAAGGCCAGCCTGGTCTACAGAGTGAGTTCTAGGACAGCCAGGACTGTTTCACAGAGAAACCCTGTCTTGAAAAAATTTTTTAAAAAGGAAAGCTCTTTAAAAATGATGGGCCAGAGGACGTTCAAATCCCTTCTGGTTCTAATCTTCCATTGCTCTCCTGCCCACAGTGAGATGCAGATGAAAACATAAGGCTTCTCAGACTGCACATACAGTATCTGAAGGCCACAGGAAGACACTCTGTCAACTGGCACTTCTAAACTTTCATTTTAATCAAGGATAGTGATGAAAATGTGATGTCTGCTCAGTGTGAACTGTTTACACTTTAAACAGTTACTTAACACTGCTGACCTACAGGAAGTCTATTCACTTTTATGGACAAAAAAGCATGAGTTTATGTGAGGTATTAAAGAAGGGTTTTTGTTAACTTTCTCAGTATCAATTTTTCTTGAGTTTTTTAGATACTTTATAAAAAGTACGTTATTATAAAATCCTATATCTTATTAAACTGGCTGATAACCGTACCACAAAATGAGGATGTTAATACTTTTTTTAACATAAGAAGCTGGAAAAGCATCTTAATGTTTCTGGTGAATTATAAACACACCTTTCAGGAATGTGTTTTGGAATCTCTATATCAAGTGACTTCATATGGAGGAGCTGAATCCCAGTGTCCATCTTGTTTGCAGCCACGATGTCACAGGCGAGCTTGTACATGGTCCTGGACACTTCGCAGGCGTACACGGAGTGCGCACCAGCGTTCTTAGCAAACATGCTGCAAGAGAAAAGAACCCACTGTGAACACTTCCAATGTTAACAAAACTATGACTCTTCAAACACGAGATCATCCTTCCATTCCTCAATATAACGATCATTTCTTCTGCATTTAAAGATCAGGGCCAGCAAGACGGCTCAACGGGTAAAGCATCTGCCACTCAAGTCTGACAACTCAAGTTCAATCCCTGAACCCACAGTGGAAGGAGAAAACTGACTCCTGAGAGTTAACTTCTGGCTTGCACAT